GCGGGTTTGATTCCATTAGATGAGTGCTACGTTAGACCATCATCCTTGTAATGAGTTGATATGCACAAGATCACAAACAGGCAATTCTGATGTTAGTAATTATTTATTTTGTTGATTTTTAAAATATGTTGTTATAACAAGTAAAACCTAGATTCTAGGATGCATGTGCACTTAAATAAATCTGTTGATTGTTTCCGTTACCCTATGATGTGTATTGGATGTTAATAATCCCTAACAGTGGTATCGTAACATATCTGGTTTTAGTTAATAGCACAAACTTGGTAAAAAAAAAACGAAACATGTCTAGTCATAGGTGCACGCGCCAACTTGTTGGTCGCACCGCATCTAGCAAGCTAGATAAATTTCAAGGATTTTATAACATAACGAATTTTTGGGATAAGCCTCTTGATTATAATATTTTTTTAATTGTTTAAATCTAAATATTTGAATTTAGTAATTAATTTGAAATTATTTAATTGAAATTGAGATTTGAGTAATTAATTAATTAAATTTGAATATTATTAAACTTGAATTCAAATTTGAATGTTTATCTTTAACTTTATTTAATAAGAAAATGGAATTGGAAATACAAAAATAGAAATTTAATATCATACTATACTTATAAATAGGACATTTTTTATATCACCACAATCACTTGAAACTTTCATGACTTTCATATTTCTTTATAATAATGATTCCTTAATACCTATTTAAACCTACATAAGCTTTCACTAGCATCGAATTAACAACTACCACTAAATAATTTTTTAAATTATTATATTTAATGGTTCTTATGACACCAATTTATTAAAATCGATATATATATATATATATATATATATATATATATATATATATATATATATATATATATATATATATAGTTCACAATGATAGATTTTTATTAGAATGATTTAAAGAGTTGTGTGAGTGGTTGAGAGGTTGATTAAAAACTCCATACAAAAAAGATTGCCAATGGAGAGCATAAGTAATAAAAAAAGAGGAAGATGACGATGAGAAGGAAATATGAAAATTTATGGTAAGAAATATTTTTTTATTTTCTTCTTTCTTATTATCCAAATTTATATTGTATAATTTTGATTTTGGTTAGAATGAAAAATATTATAGATGAAGATGCTCTAATCATTACATCTATATTCACGTAAGCAACAAAACTATTTCACAACAATACAAACACAAGAATGGATGCGTAGTTCATGCTTCTTGATTTTAAAATTTTGGTGTTTTAATTTATTTTAAAATTTTGCATTTTCTTTTCATAAAAGTTATAATCATGTTTGGCGGGATTCCAAAAAGAAGCTATGCAACTAATCGTTAAAGTCTAAACCCAATACTCCATGTCGTATAAATTATAACGGAGTTTGCAAGATGGTGCATGTTAATATTCATTCCACTTCAAATTGTATAACTAAACTTTTAAAAAGATTCATTAGGTGTAATTTCTATGATGATGTAATGGAGTGCATGTTCGCTTTTAATTTTATAGGTCTTCATGTTGTGTTGGATTTTCACAATCGCTTGCATGGAAATGGTTCTATAGATGACAATTATATAGTTGATAAAGCTTATTAAAACTGATTTTGTTATATTCCATAAAAATGATAAATTTGAGTTGTTGATATATCATTATAGGCTATTATAAATCATTTAATCATTCATGATCTTTTTAAACGAGATGTTTATAATTTAACTGTAAGGTAATTAAAAATGAAATAAGATTTAGCCATTGCAATTTGCACCTCTAATTTTATGTTATGCTAATGAAAAACACAATGACACGAGACACTCACAAAATACAAATCATTTAATTGTATTATAACTTATGTTTTCAAATAACATATGAGTGCTAAAACTCATTAAGGGTTTTATAATTATTATTTCTCTGGTTAGGATCTATTACAAAATATTTTGACATCAATTGTAAACATCTTTTATGTATAATTTTAACTTTGCCTTTAATTCTTTGTATTTACATTATCAATAATTTATATGGTTAATTATTTTTTCATAAGTTGTAATAGTCAATCAATTTATTCAGTAATACAAAATTAGAAGACCAATATCGACAATTTTAGGAGTGGTTTTGAAATATTAAAAACCGACATAACATGTTTCAGGATCAGTTCCAATATTCTAGGGTCATTGGTGCAAATTTTAATAGGCCTATATATAAAAAATGACCAAAAACCATGTATAAAATTATAAATTTCAACATATTTTAGAACGCGCGTGAATGCGCCTAGTATGATATAATCCTAGGATACGTATTACAGTTATACCACATGTGTCTTCACATATTAATAAAGACATCATCGTCGAATCAAGACTGCGCTCATCCACTCTAATACTCTAAAAAGGTTTAAGGAGGTCTATATGATACCTAATGATGTTGATTTTTAAAAGGATTTGCACTTATCACCCTCACTACCTTTTTGTATTTTGAGAGTGGAGTCACCGAAAGGGTTCAATCGGATTTTGTTTCAAGATTAAAAGTATTAATCAAGTAAAAAAACAAAATTCCCATTTTATACAAATCGAAAACGTGAGCCATTTGCTACCCATGAAAATGTAAATTTTGTTTATATTCTAATGATAAAAGTGTGTGTGGTTAACCAAAAAATCATCCTGATAATATAAATTAAAATGGGAAATTGTTCCGTTGATGAAGTGTGTGTGTTTAACCGGTATACCAACATGAGGATAATTTTTGTGTTGATGATCGATCGGGTATTCATGATTGATTCACCATCTATTAATGGTTCGCGATGTCCCCATCATTAAATTTTGAGATGATCACAATCGAGATTAACATGCCATTAAATGTCAATGAATATCAAATGATCTAGGAGTTTGAAGATTTTGAAACTAGAAAATTTCTTTCCCTGCCTAAATAACTTTGTTATGTGTTAACGACATCCCTTTATACATCACAAAGCTAAATATGGATCCTAGCCTTGTTAATAATTTATTTAGGGTTAAAAGTTATTTTAAGGATAAATTCGAACTAACTAAACTTCCTTTCATTTTGTAGAAAATGAACGAAAACAACAATCCTCCTCCTCCTCGTCCTTCAAAGTTGAACTTCTCTCTTATATCGATCCTACACAAGGATAAACTCACCATTCAGAATTATTTGGACTAGATTTGTAACCTAAATATTTCCTTGAGGTATGAGGGAAAATAATGTGTCATTGATGGAAATATCTCTTATGTGGATGATGAGTCCTTAGAAGAAGTTATAGCTGTATACAAAAAACATGATGATGAGTCTACAGAAGTTCTTGGCATTATGTTAGCGACTACGTGTCTTCAGCTTCATAAGAGTCTTGGGGCATTTGAAATAAACATGCATCTCAAGGAAATGTTCCACGAGCAAGCTTGGAAAGAAAGATTCGCGATCATCAAATCCTTAAGGACATGTAAACATCAAGATGGGAATTCTATGTGTGTGTGCACATTAAAAAGATGAAGTTGTACACTTATAAGCATGGGAATTTACATGTCGAATTTCCGAAGGAGTTAGAAATTAACATGTTATTGAACTCGCTTTGTAGTTCATATCATCCGTTCATCATGAACTATAGTATGATCAATCTTGACAAAACCCTCATAGAGGTTCATGCACTACTAGAAAAACAGCCTTTTACGATGCTCATTGCGCATCGTAAAACGCTCAAACGTCGCGCTAATGCGCGTCAAGGAAGGCCTTGTCATAAAGAGAGACGACGCGCATTTACGGCACGCATTTATGACGTGCATTTACGACGCGCGGTTATGACATGCAATGCATATCGAGGAAGGCCCTATCATAAAGGAAGACGACACACATTTGCGTGTCGTAACCTTACGACACACGTGTTTATGACACACAATGCGTATCAAGGAAGCCCCTGTCAAGAAAGGCAATGTCATAAATGAAGATGACACACATTTTTGCGTATCATAATTTTAAATGTTAAAAAAAAATATTATTTACAGATTGACTAATTTTCAAATTAAATTTGCATTTAATGTCTCATAACAGAAAATAAAATACCATATACAAAAATACAATTCATTGCATAAAATATATAGTCATACAAATAACAAAATTTATTTCATATTGATACATATGATTACATTATTCATTAAAAAACATATACCTACATCTTCCCCTAAAATGTGATTACATGATGTTGGCCACTTCATTGATGGATCACCAAGAGGAAAACCAACAACTGCCCTAAAATGTTCCATGATGTGCCGATACTCATGTCCTGTAACTTTAAACATTTAATAAAGTAAAATATCTCTTAAAAATAAAATTGCACAAGAAACAACACAAGTATCAACCTTGTGGTAGGTCATATGTGGAAAAGGAAAAAGAACAATATGATACATGATTACCCATCTCAATCTGCCATGTGTGCAATAATCTTCTACACCATCTCAATCTGCCAATAACACCTCACCTATATATAGTTCTTTATTTTGTACTTAGTGCAGAAACAAATAGCTGATATTAATAGAGAAAGTACCATTAATTCCTAATTTTACAAATTTGTGCTCATTTATATGTTGTTTTCATTTTTCAAGTGCATTTTCATTTTATAAAATATATTTTTTAACAAGAACTTGATTAAAATATTTTTTTATCAATCATACTATTTAGAGTTTAGAGTTTCACCTTTTGCCTTGAATTTGTGGTTGTAATTTTAGAAGACTTCACTAGATGCATTGTTGTTTCAACAACTTTACTCCCACTAATAAAATCCGGATGTGAAGTGTTTATATAATCCATCTGCAAAAGATATTGGATATCACTTTATAGGGTTAGATACAAGAAAAAGAAATGTACTTTCATGAGCTTAACCGAAAGTTGCTTCCCATTTTTTATTATCAACAAAAACAACCCTCATGAGCTTAATCAATGCAACAGTTCAGTCTACTGCTTGCATGGTTAATAGCAATCGCTATAAATTATTATAAAACTCAAGAGATTAGAAAAAAGTACCTTCATTGTGAAGTATGGATTTCTGTCCAAGGCGCATCCTATGTTCCTAAAAAAAGAAAAATAAATATCAATACTAAAAGAATAATGTTTAAAAAAAATATTTAATGGGGCAATACCATGAACAGTGAACTCACATAATATACTGCCCAATGACAGACCTCATGCTTCAATTCAGAATCTAGTTGCTTCATCAGTTCATGAAGCAGCCTCTGAATCATATTCATGTTAACTAATATAAAACAAGTAATGAACTTACTATTAAGCAAAGAAAGAAACTAACCTTATTTTTTTTTACATGAAAGAGTTGAAAGTCCAGCATCTGTGATGTGGAAAACATCTAAGTTAAGTGATCTAACAGTTGATAATCCAGATAGATTTGATAAACCTCCATCCATGATAACAGTGAATGAAAGATTTAAAATTTGGAGATTCATCAACCCTGCAACAGATTTTATAAAAGATTAATTACCTTAAAAATCAAATTATGAAATTTCTATTTCTTAAATTTAGTTAGAAAAATGTATGACCTGAGAGATGGCAATGACCATTGCTTCCAACTTTTGTATCAAACAACTCCAAACATTTCAAACGATGAAGGCCTATCATTTACAAATATATGCATCAACATCTATATATAAAAACGTATAAGCACTAAAAAATACATGTTAGACAAGTAGCAAAAAAAATCTTTAATATGAATAAGAGTATCTATTCCGCTACGTTAATTATCAAAAACATATTCAACTTTATACATGTTTAGTATAAAACATAAATAAAAAAAATAAGGAAAGGACAAGAAGCACCTTTATGTACCAAAACAACATCTGCAATATCATTGAATCCCAAATTGAGTACTCTTAACGCCTTTAGCCCTAAAAGCACACCCATGAAATTAAAATTATATTATAAACTAACATATTTAAGGAATTTTTTTTAGCTTTAAGCTACCCTCAAGAAGACTTACTTGATAAAGCCTCAACATCTGTAGGGTTAATCAGACATAATAAGAATAAGAAGATCATATACCTGTCTGCGAATTGATCCAAACAAACTAAAAGTCCCAGAATTCTCATGATCTGTAGTCATTAACAGCATCACAGTACTTGTTAGACAGTAATCAACCATTCCTTCCACTTCTGGCCCAACCTAATGTACCAATAATTCCAACAAAAAAATAATCATCATATTATCTTCTTAACAGTTAACAGATCAAAAAAAAAAAAAAAAACTCTACAGTCTACCTCAATAAGATGTATATCATCCCAACCTCCCTCGTTCAGGTAACCTCGCACACCGTGTGCATACTTTGATCCATCTTCATTCATATCATAGTTCAAACTTCAAATATTAATATTACTCAATAGGATACAAAAATGGCCTATATGTGATGTCAACTGTCAACAGTGACCTTTTTTTTTTTTTTATCAAGAAGCAAGCAAGGAAGCCTTCCTTTTCATCATCCTCCCATAAGTACACTGATGAAGTACCACCTTCATAATACCTTTAAACCCCCAACATTCAACATACACATACCAATTTTAAATTAAAACACATCATTCATATTTCTTTCATATTACAGAATAAATCCAACATACAAATGAGGTGTAAGTAAAGGATCTCACTAGTCACGATATACACTGAAGACTTCATTTGCTTCTATTTCAAGTGTCCTCAATTCAGGAGATGGATACAACCCCCCTTCTAATGGAGGATGGTATTTATTTGACCATGGTGATCTACAAAGTACAACCAACCAAACAAATATTTCACATTATCAACAACCAATAAAGCAACATTGCTATTGCTATTTTAAAAAGACGATTAATCCTATTCCTATCAGACCAAATCACTAAATTGTAAATAAAAGGTACATATGCTCTTTAGTCTTTATCTATGTCTTTAAGACAAATAACGCTACACACAGGCCCTGTTTTTGTTTTAATGTTAAATGATTCTTACATAAAGTATTGTCTTGATAAATGGAATTAAAACAAGTATTTGAGAAAGTGGTTGTACATTCAGGGGAAATGGACAAGTGTGGGAAAATTTATCAAAAAGTTAGCACCCATTAACTCCTTGAATCCTTTCAACATCAAGTCAAAAGAAACACTCTTATATAGATTACTAGATGAGTCATGTACCCATTAAGACCATTAAGTAGCAAACATACATAACAATATATGTTAGCCTACTGTGGTGCATGATAAGATGTGATCTAGATAACTGCTAGGCCAACAACTCATACTTGATTATGAGGAGGCTCAAGAAAGGTACATCATCTAGTAAAAAAAAATGCAAGATTGCACTTTTCTTGCAATAACTTTTAAAATGATTCATGATTGTATCAAATAAGGTGCTTGACAAGGCAAGTGATGAGATATGATGATATTTATTGTTATGTGTATGAGTCAGCATCTCTATTATAGTCACACAAGATGAATTCGTTAGCACTATCCACATCACATAACACCTGTTTGCAATGAAAAAGCTTAATTAAACGAAAATCAAACACACAGCAACATTACCATTAACGAACAATTGCCATTTGTTTGAGATGGATTACCCTACTCAAACGACAAGCACTAAGCAAGGCAGTCCAAGCAAAGACATCCCACTTGCTTGGTGTTGATACGATGAAACTTAAAGATTCATTTAGTTGTCCAGCCTTGATTAGCATGTTAATGATACACATATAATGGTTTAAACCAGGTTTGACACCCTTCTGTTTCATTAACTCGTACATATAGTATAACCCTTGTTCCACAAGCCCCACATGACCCAGATGCCCACATGCACTCAGTCCTTTTTCAGAACATCTTTCAAGGTCCAACTTTGACAAATTGACCAACCCTGAAAGTACACTCAATCCTTTTGCAGTGATGTTTGTGTTCCTCTTCAAACTCAAACTTGTCAAGTTTGAAAGACCTAAAAAAAACAATAATATTAAGATTGTTTCCTTCAAATTCAATAAAGAATCATTACAAGAGATTACCAATAATGCATTCGAGCCCAACATCAGAGATATGTTCACAAAAATTAAGGTTTAAAGCCTCAACATTCTTGCATTCTTTAATACGTAACAAACCAGAATCTGTAACATCAGAACTAGAAAGATCTACAGAAACTAAAGATGATCCCTGTGAAGAGATGTACGAATAGAGTGCAACAAGCAATTCATTATGCTTCTCTCTACTAAGAACCTCAATGATTGCACACCCTTGAGCTTCAGTCTTCTTACAATAATAATAAAAAAGAAAAAACTGCAAGACCTAAAGATCCACCAAAGGAATCTCCAACCAGAAAAATTAGCTTCTTTGTAGATGAAGCATGTCCAAGCCTCTCAGTTTCTTAAACAAATTGAATCAAATCTTCATATAACAAAAAATAGTTAATAAAATAGCTTCTAGTAATGTGTGAGTATATAAAAGCATATTAAAAATAGTTTCTATATAGGTGTAAGCAGCAGAACAGGGGAACCTGCTTTCTGGTAACACCAATGGCTCCTAAGTGACTATATACATCCTCACAATCTAGAATATATCATAAGAAGGAAAGACACAAGTTGAAAGAGGATTGGACAGTGGTCCTTGTGTAGAGTGACTACAACATAAAGCCCGATTTTTTCACCAAAAACATGTTGCCCTAGCTCACGGTATCTGTCAAATCTTTTTCCTGGAACCATTTCGTGCATTTCCACCATTTTCCATAGTGTGTAGAGTGTAATCACCTAGGATATGACTAGTACTGTGATTCCAAAGCCCCTGAATCAAACAGATTGTATATTATGAAAGTGGATTTTGTGTGGGGATTTTCATCGAACATGTTGTGTGCATCGTTTAAACCAAAAAAGAATCTCACAGAGAAGACTTGGATTGAAGGAAAAGTGATACCATCCGAGTTGAGATACGGCGTAATGAAGACTGAGGACACCAACACTAACCATGTCGGTGACATTGTGAAAGGCTGAGTACCACCACTTTGCGTTTCTGGAGGATGTCACTGGAAAGAAAAAACCATTTGAGTCTTTTGCTCTACCAGGCTCTGATTCCATGATTTTAACAAACTGATTCTCGGATTTGACCGTCAGGAAATCATTTGAAGCTTAATGATGATCTATTACCTGATGTAGCGAAGGAGATGCAAGAAGAGTCTCGTTGACGGGCGACTCGTAGGTCGGCGATGGTGGCGGAGAGGAGAGATGGGTCGGAGGAGAAGGTGTTGAGGAAATGATCGTAGAGGAGGGTGGAGGAGCAGAGTTTGTTTCCACTTAAGATGAAGATGAAGGACCTAGGGCTTTTTCTTGCTAAGTAGAAGAGGCGGGGGATTAATTTTTGGGATTGAATAGGCGGGGGTAATTTTCGTCGATTTTATTTCCCGCCAAAAACGCGTGTTTCACTTAAAAATTATAAAGCGACACAGTTACATGACACACGTTTTATGAAAGGCGCCCTCTGTATTTATTTCTTTTTCTTTTCTGACACTAATTTTAGGGCGCACACAAATACGTGCCCTCTATCCTTCAAATTTTGCAAAACTGACATTATTTTTTAGGGCACTTACAAATGCGCGTCCTCTATCAGCGAGTGTCATTGTTTGCACGTCATTAAAGGCCTGTTTTCTTGTAGTGCACTTGAATAAGTCTAAAACTATTATTGCGTATGACTTCAAGAACTGACTGGCAATCGTAGCTCTCAAAAGCTTCTGTCGAACTCTGACCTTGTAGATGAACTCTGACCTTGTCATTGACTTGTCCATTAGATAAGGGATCATATATTCCTCCATTCTAGATATCATATGGACTGAGACATGGATTATAATCATTCTCTCTGTCCATTTTTTTTTCCCGATTTCCGATTTATGACGACTGACTAATTGAACAAATCAAATCAGTCCTGGCCCGGCTGAGCACTTCCATTTGTCATCATCAAATCATCGATGGGCCCACAGATATCGCTTCATCCCGAAGGTAAAAGGAATGGATAAACTTCGACTCATATGGCTTGTACTACTACTTGTTGAATCATACACAAAGGCACATTTTATAACACCGAGTTACCGAATGCGTTTTCGTGCAATCAATGTAAAACCAACTCATAGTAACAACTCATATCTCTAGGTTTGAAGAATATAAGATATTATCGTCTCATGATCACTTGTGATAAAATTTATGTAGTGATTCCAATGAGCGCGGGTTGAATCCAATACTCATAACTTATGAGCACTCATGAGTTTTGTAGCCCTTTGTCCAACATCTTAGACCTCTACTAGCCAACCCATGACAGTCTTAATTCATATCTACTTCCAACATATGACCGACTGTGGATGGTTTGAATAACTTAGTCATCCCGAACAATGACCTAGTTATTCTGGAAGTTAAAACATGCAAAAATGAAACACAATAATAATTGAATCCAATATGGTATCAAAACCTATGAACATAAATAAAACACCTTTTATTTATCACCATATGATTACACATTATTCATTGTATATTGTTTCAACTATCAACTTTATTCTTGAATTAAAACACTAGTTGTCCCATGCTCCGTGCATGTACACTATGTTTTCTAAACACTAGTCATGCCACACACCAAGTATGCATACTATGTTTGTCTATGATCTTTACTTTTTGAATTAGATCAATTGAACATAACTCCAATGATCCTTTTTTCATAGTCCCAAATCCTTACTGCAAATGCAAGAATTCCAAATTCATGCCATTTACTGAAATCTGTTAGATTCTAAACTTATATGCATAGATCCTCTTGTAATGATTATGCATAAAGTCGCAAAGACTTAACAATAAACATTACAAAGCATTCCAAAGGAGATCAACTCCTTGGAAACATCCTTCTTGCATTAAGTTTCCTAATCTTACACAGATTGAATAATTTCTAACTTTGAAACATTTCCATATTCCATTTTGACTATTACTTCTAAACAAGAGTTGCCTCCTTACAAATTATGTCAATATGGTCCTTCCAGAATTATCATTATACTTCCAACTGTCCTTGAGCAACCAATCTTTGGTAAACCTTAGATTGTTCTCAACAATTGTTTAATCCTTTTAGTCATATCCAATTCTAGACCTTTTCCCTTCTTAATTCCCCAGGCATTTGGAAAATTTTAGAATGGATGAATATAGCACATGTAATCGATCCTATATCCGAAGCATATGGGACACGATTCATGATGTCTCACATAAAGACTAAACCAGTCTTTTGCTATAATATTTCCATTTCAATTTGCCAAGTTCTCATAATTCAGATTATGAAAAGGGATGCCATAATCATAATCAAATTTTAGAACGCAAATAATGGACCCATATACATAATTTCCTTATGTTGAGCCATTCCAACATGAAATTCATATATATTTCCTTGACTAAATACAATTAAAACCTCAATCTAAGCTTTTAGATTTGAGATGAAGTATAATTTCCTCTCCGTTAATTATAGCAAAACAACTCTTTCCCAATTGAAACTTTTGTTTTCTATAATTAACATTGCTAACTTGCAACTTTTATCATAATTATCATGCTCCCACTAACATGATGATTATTAGCATAACACTTATGCTCCCACTAGCTTTGACATGTACTTAGAAATCAGCTGGACTTCTAGAAATCAATACTTTATTGACTTTCTTACCAAAGTTCAGATTTCTGATACTAGATTGTTTTGATAAAACTTTATCAAAATCATACACCTCTCTTAGATAGCTCACATGTGTGTCTAAACAATTTTAGAACTATGAAAATGGATGCCGTAATCATAGTCTCAATTTTTTAGACCTTTGCCACTTCTTACAAGTCCATGTTAGTGTGCCGGTAAACCACACATGCTCCACTAACAACTTTGAGAATGCAAATATCACAATTGCTATCTAGCTAAAATCTACTTAGTGAAAGTGTTTCCTCACCATCATTTTCATGAATCGGAGAGAAACCTTATGACACTTAGATTTAACGTGTATGTGTTCTTATCCATGTGAATTGGTCAAAACCATAATCACAAGACAAGGTTAGTGACAAATCCAAACTCATATGGATTAAACTTGAGTAATCTTAAATTCTTGCCATCTAGCAGCTCAAGGGCCTGCCATTGCTTCCAAGTTGTTGTGCAACCAATTGAGAACTCTCAGAACTCCTATGCAAAACCAACTTGAATAGGCACAAAAATTTCAACATGATAGGTTATAAACCTCAAGTCGTGTGCTAGTGAAGGACTTTAAGTTTTATTCTTGATTAAGTCTTGAAACTTTCAAGAGCATTAAGACTCCCACTATCCTCTTGACATATAAGACTCTCTTGTCAAATATTCAAGAGATAGTGAGGATTCTAATCAAGACAAACACTTCACACAATTGGCCTTAGTTGGTCATGTTTTATCCGAAACATCACAACTTACCAATTTCAAATGTACATGAGTAGAAAACTTTTACTCTTAAATTTGACAAGTGTTTTAAACCTTCTTTAAGACATGTCACTCAAGTTACAATTTTAGAGTATAACTCTAAGACTTGTATTGGAACGAAGTATGACTCATCTTCTTGATTTAACCACTTCAACAATACTCCTCTTTTTAACTATTAGAATGCACTTAGATGATGAATTGTGATAAGGTCTCTAAATCATTAAGATGATCATATAACATGATACTAAAGTACTCTCCCATCTTTTCAGACTTGAGAAAATTTTATCTTTCTGCCATACTTTGATTCTTCTTATTCGTTCTGTCTCACATTGAAACTTCTCCAATGCTACAAACTTATACTTAAACTTATAAGTATAACGATATTTACTGAACTTAAGTAAATCATGACGAATAGTCTTCTTGATCTTTTGTAGTGGACTTGATCAGTGCACAAGAATTTGTACTCGATCCCTTAGTCCTTTCCTTATTCACATAAGGAATTAGTCTTAATTTTCCAAGCTGAAAGTTCTCATTCATCATACTATACAACTTGCATGATTCCATGTTTCGGTCCAATTGAACCTTGGGTGATGAGAATCTTTCCTTATTTGGTAATATTAGACACTACCACAACCGAAAGAATCAAATCCATTTTTCCAATATTGTTATCAGTGGAATCTTATAAGCAAAACTTTTCACAAATGTCATTGTAAGGATACTTAAAATAAATAAAATCAAAACCTTTTTCATTTATTTTAAAACTTTGCTGAAAAACTTATCCTTACAATCCATATGAAAACCTTGTTGTTATCTATTCCTAAGCAATATAAATATCATAACTCTTAAGTAATAGCCCAAAATTCTGATCACCAAACCATGCGATTGAAATCCATCTTCGCGAGCATGTACTTAATAGAGTTAGACAATGGACTTTACCTGAAGTAGAGCCAAACTTATTGACTTTAACATCCTTAGGTAAATTTGGCAGCTTCGCAACCAATGCCTCTTCTTTTGGCAATAGTTACCTATGGACCCTTGATAATGGGACTATCTCAGACTTAGCGTCTCTCTTTACCATTTGGTCAACCGAGTTGACTATGGCAGATCCCTTTTCATTGGGAAGAGAGAGCTTTACTGGATATCCAATGTCATTATTGTCAATGTCCACAAGTTTTAGGAAGTTGATCTTAGCAAACAGATAAGATCATTAAGGGTCTTGTCATAGTATGTTTCATAGGAGTCCCAAAGGAACTCACTATGTGACTTTGAAAGTGATTGAACCACCAAGTTTCACGAGAATTTGACACCTAACTCTCCCGACTTGTCAATATGTGACTACATCTCCAAGATGTGATCACACATAGACCTCTGCTTGCCAATAGGGCTTGAGTGACCTTAAACTTTTCAAGAACTTGTGGGTTAGGGAGAATAATTGGAGGAGGTGAAATAAGTATGATTTCCATGGGACATCATCTTCATTTAGGAAAGCTTGTTTCAAGAGATTTGGGAAGATCATAAATGTCTAAACCAGACATCTTTTTGGGAGATATTCAAGATAGTTGATTTAAAGTCCTTAATATGACACCCAATACGAAATATTAAGGCTAGGACCCAACACAATACTTTTATAACTTGG